TAAACCTGAAGAGGGTTAAAAAAAAAAAGAAAAGAAAAAAGAAAAAAAATGCAGTTAATGGTTTTTCTGTGATAAATACACAAAATGAACGTATCAAGATCGTGTACTTTCACATTTAAAAGAAGGCTGGAAATTATCTTGCTGAGTGGATTCATGAAACACTGATCTAGATAACCCGGTTAAGGCCCCAGAGGGATTCAGTGGCTAAATCTCTTGGCTGATACTCTAATCTACCCATCGCTTCATGATTTGATTGGATTGGATTAAGCTTTGATAGGTCAGAAAATTGTTTCCTTGCACTTCTAGTAAGACATAATGGATACGCTCTATTGTTAGCTATTATTTATATTAGATTTAATGTTGTGTGCATGTGTATGTGTGGTTTTAAATACATACGTCACAACTCTAAGCTAGTATTTGGTTTGTACGCACATTAAGATTTCCAACATGGGGACTTCATGACTTCTTTTTCCGTTATTTCCCTTTCCTGAGCTTGCTATTTTTCAGAACCAGGCCTGATTGTAATTTACCCTTTTCTGAAAAAGGCCTCTCCTCTTTTGGGAATGCTCTCCGAGTCCCAGTGACCCACACTGAGTGTTTGGGGAAGATAGAGACACCCATCCACCCAGTTCAGTCACTCAAATAAGGTGAGAAATAGGACAAAACAGTTGTCACAGTTGGTTGGCTCTCAGATATGAGAGTAACCTTACCAAACTGAATCTACTTTATATAAATTCAAACATAAAAGAATCAAATATTGTCTGGATGACATTATCCTGTCTCTTATGTCAGTCCATGTAGCCAAATATGGGCTCCCTGTACAAATAAAGACAAAATGCTCAAATAAAACAAATAAGCAAAATGAAAAACCCAAACAAAACAAAACCCTATGGTTCCAGGAAGCAAATAAAGGCTTCCTGGGCAAATAAAGGCAAAGGGGCAAAATAAAGCAAAAAATGCAACAGCTATCTTAAAATCTGAAGGACACAGAGGAATTCTTATTTTTTTTGAACAACCACTTACTCCTCTCCCATATCCACACGGATGAATAGAGTACTTGGGCTAATGGTAATCCAGAAATTTCAGACATTGGCCCTGCCAATGCTTCAGAGGCATAACCTGCCTGGTATACGACAGTAAGGATTTTCACATGTATTCTAGACTCTAGACTGCTCTTGGATGGATGAGGCCATTCTGGCTACATATATGAGCGTTTGGTAGTAAATAAGGAAGTTCGTAGAGAATTCAAGTAATTTCCTTTGAAGTTTTTCCTTTGAATTCTTATTACTTAAAACTCAATAGTAATACTTTACTTTGTACCAAGTGCTATGCTTGGACTATTTGATCTGTTTCTCCCTACAAATTTTTATTTTAGATATGTAAAACTGAGGTTTAGAGAGCATATTAGTCAGCTTAGACCGATACCACAGACTGGGTGGCTTAAACAACAGAAATTTATTATAGTTACTATAGTTTATTACAGCTGGGAAGTCAAAGATCAAGGTGCCAGTAATTGGGTTCCTTGTGAGATCTCTCTTTCTGGCTTGCAGACAGCTACCCCCTCTCTATGTCCTCACATGGCAGAGAAACAGAGAGCAAGCTAGCAAGCACTAGCTCTCTGATGTCTCTTCTAGAAAGACATTAATCTTATGGGATCATGACTCTACCCTATGACGTTATTTAATTTTAATTACTTCCTTAATTACAGGTCCTGTGTCCAAATACAGTCACCTTGGGGTTTGGAGCTTCAACATACGAGTGTAGAGGGACACAATTCAGGCCAAAGCAGAAAGATTAAGTGACTTTTACAAGGTCACAGTACTGTTGAACAGTAGAGCCAGGATTTGAGGAGTTAGGCACTGAAACCCCTGTAGCTTCCTATAGCTGTCTATGAGTCTCATGGGGGTCCCAGAGTTGGCCAAGCTTGTCTTCTAGACCCTTCTGCCTTTCTGTGTTCTGTGCTTTTGGCATACCCTTCTCACTTGCTCCAGCACATCATCCCCATGTTCCAGCTCCTCAGGATTCATCTAATTTGTACTAAAGGTTGATTCATTCCAAGAGTATCTGCATATTTATGAACGAAATGCCTCATATAAGAATACCCCCCCAATAATGGGATGTTAGCTTTCTGAATACATAACAGACATATTTTAAAAGAGATTCTTTCCTCATCTCTCAGATTACTCCTTACAGAATATTGTTGCACTTTGGCATATGGGTGCGTAATACAAACATTTTCTACTAGTTTAGAAATACGCTTTGATGCTTTGGAAGAATATTGTTTAATTCATTTTGTTAAATATCTACTTCCCTGCCCTTTTCTTTTTATTAACAAATATTTCTAGCCCTGCATCGGGCTCCCTGCTCAGCAGGGGAGTCTGCTTTTCCCTCTTCCTCTGCCCCTGCTCGCTCTCTTTCTCTCTCTCACTTTCTCTCTCAGATAAATAAATAAAATCTTTAAAAACAACAACAACAACAAAACAAAAACCCAAACATTTCTCGAACACTTTCTACGCATAGAACATGAATGTAAATTTAAAGATACAAAATGGCCCTTGCTTTCAAGGTATAATTTAAGTATAATATGTTAAATGTCAAAAGAAATATCTGAGAAAAAAAGATGATATGACATTTCAGAGAATAAAGTTAGCTAAGAACTGCAATTTTTAGAAGTTTTATTTTATTTTATTTTATGAACAATGAGGCATTTCTGAAATCTTTTGAGTAGGTAGATAGCTTGATCTGATTCACTTTTAGAATCTCCTTAATAAAATAAAGGGGAGGATGAGGAGGAAGAGAGTTCAGAATAGTGTAATTGTCCTGAGGTAAATTCTATAGAAAAAAGAAGTTGTAAATAGTAGAACACCTTTGTGAATCAAGGGTTTGAGGCTTGAAGTCATATGTGTATGAAAAGATTAGTGTTTCCCCACATTTTATCACAAAGGATACGTGTGATTGGGGATGTTATTCAAAATATTTAATGACCAGTATGACATGAGACTTTAACAATCAGAACAGGGAACTGGCCAATCAAAATAGACCAGGTCCTAAATATATAATTAACAGATGTGACCATACTGTTACGACCTGGCTGAATGTCAGATCTGCCTTTGTCTCTTGGTGGTACAGCCAGGGATCTCATGATTTGAAAGATTCTACTCCTTAAACAGATTTCATAAATTAAGTAAAAAAATTTACTTTCCAGTTTCTTAATTTAATAACAGACTTCTGCAATTTATATTAGTTTAATATCAGTATAACAGACAAAACTGATACAACTTTAGCATTTGTCTGTAACACCTGGTTGTCGGTTGGCTTATGTGGCCTTATAGCAGGCAAATGTGTAATTTCCACTTGGCATTTTGAAAAATTAAAATAATTACCTAACTCATAAAATTCCTAGGGGACAGGTGGACTGCTGTCCTCAATTAATAGTGTTGATTTAAATCATGTACCTCACAGCCTAGAGATGTTTTAAAATGTCTCTCTCTCTCTCTCTCTCACACACACACACACACACACACACACACACACATTATGTAAATATTTTCATAATTGACATATTATTTAGTTGCCAAAGTCTCTACCACTGTTTTACACATATATGTTATATTATTTTACCCACCCGGCCCCTGAAGGCAAATGCATTTATAATCCCTGATTTAGATATTTTTATTTTTTTTTTAAAGATTTTATTTATTTATTTGACAGAGAGAGACACAGCGAGAGAGGGAACACAAGCAGGAGGAGTGGGAGAGGGAGAAGCAGGCTTCCCGCCGAGCAGGGAGCCCGATGCGGGGCTCGATCCCAGGACCCTGGGATCATGACCTGAGCTGAAGGCAGACACCCCTATTTTTATGTTTTTAGAGACATCATTTTGTTCATGTCATAATCCAATTCCAGTTGTAGTGAATTATGCTGTGATCAGGTTTTAAAAATTTCTGAAGTAGTTCTATCTCTTGAAGCACTGTTAACTCAGAAGATTTTGCCATTTATATTTGTCCGGTTCTGCTTGAGCTGAATTCACCCTGACTTCCATTTTAGTTCACAACTTTCTACTCCTTTATATTCTACTCTTGACCTTCAAAATTATTTTGAAAGTCACAGTATGTAAAACTTCTCTTTTTGATTTTTGTTTTGATTCTTTCCTCTACTTACATCCCCGGCTCCTCCTCTGAAACTAGTTCTCTCGAAACTACATGTCCCAATCCCCCACTAAAAAAAGTATATGTGATCTTGTGTGCTTCGTGATGGTTCCCTTGGCCCATCTGAGCATGCAGGGACCAACAGGTAACGTTCTTATGCCACCTTGGTTTGCCTGATACCTTCCTGTCCTTTCCATTCCTCCCCCAGGACCACACGCTGATGCTGCAACAAAGTGCAGTCTAAGATAGGGCCAACTTTGAGCTCTGAGTGTGCTGATCTTCTCTTCCCGTTGTTCCTTGTAAAGATGATGGATCATTTTAGTCAGGACAGAGTAGTAGAAGGGCAACCAGAAGAATGCTGAATGGTTACAGACCAAGTGGCAGATACAATGTCTTTTTGATGAACATTAATGAGCTAGGGTATACTTCAGGGAAAGTACATTAAAAGGACTTTGTGAGAGACTTTATGACTGGACCCTGTAATTCTTGCTTATATCCACAAGAACTCAATAGTCTGCGTATCCTGACTTTGACATTGCACTGCCCATAGTGAGTAGGAGAATGGGTGGGTAACACATGGCAGAACTTGGGGAAATTTTTCTTTCTTCCTTTAAAAAAAAAAAGGCAGATGGTGTTTTGAACACAACTTGCTGTGGAACATAAAAGCATGAGAGTTCTGGTTGTTTGAAAGAGAAAAAAAATAAGTTGATTTTTTTAATGGTAAAACTAGTTTCTACCAGGGGCTTTAAGAAAAAAAGCACTGAGATATGGGAGTGAACTGCAAGATAGGGTTTGTGTAACAAGTACCTAAAACCACAGAAGTCACATGGGCTTTTTCTGCTTTGCTACTTTTGATTACTTGTCAGAGGGTTTTTAGCTTCCCCCATCCTGCAAGGCCACTCAACCATGTGCGAGCTGGAGTAATCTTTATTCACAATGTCTCTACAAAGGCTCATGCAACAGAGCTGCAATGGCAATTTGGTGGACTACAGTGCTGGTCCAGCATATAACTCTTACTCCCCGCTCACGGGCAGCTTGCGAATGGATGATAATAGAAGGATTCAAATGCTGGCAGACACTGTGGCTACTTTGCCTCGGGGAAGAAAGCAGGTATGATTACTGTTTTGTACTTTCAGAGTGTTCATGTTCTCTTGAGAGCAGAGTTGATCTGTTTATCTGACTTCACACCGAAATTGCATTTTACAGGCTTTGGAATTAGTCACTAAGAGTATGGGCGAGGAAGGAGACAGGAAGCCCAGAGAGCTTGTGGACTAGTCCAAAAGATTTAAGACCATAATAAAAAATTTTTTTTCAAGGCAAAACTTAAAAGAAGATTGTTTTTCTCATTTGAAGAGGTGTTGAAGTAAAATGAGAATCATTAAGCGCATCGAACTTAGTGCATATAGACATGGCCGGTTTGAGAATTATTGATTCACCCCCACCCCCACGTGTCTCACTGATTCCTTCCTCCCGGCTTCACTCGTTGATAGTCATTTCCAATCCAAGGAGAGCACTTTTTCTTCAGGACAAATTTTGTTGACTAAATTATTTTCAGTGCTGGGGTACAGGCACATTCCTAATGCTATTGGGAATTAAGGCTTTTATTAGATAAGTGAATGGCTGATGTAACACCAGCACAGTCACTTCCTAGCTGTGGGACCTTGGACAATTCATTTGCCCCTCTAAGATTTAGTTTTCTTTTTTCTATAATGGAGACAACAACGGACCCACCCTAAGGAGCTCTTCTGTGGCTTAAGTGAGGAAGTAGGCAGTGCTTAACACAGGGACTGACATGTAGTATGTGCTCAAAAATTATGTTATCGTTTTTATTTGTACTGCAAGGTATTTCCCTAGAGATGAAAACTTATTTAGAAAAATCCATGTCCAGTTGAGTTAGTTTCTTTCATTCTATGATTTCCAATGTTTAAAACAATTTTTTAACCTCTTCAGGTTTTGGTTATATAACTTGCTATCACGCTCCAAGTACATATCTGAATTTAGAATTAGAATTGCTTTAAAGCATGAAGTTTTGCCCTTAAATCCTACTGCACATCACGGGCTCCTCTTAAACCTTCTAATTTTAGGATTAGAGAGTTAAAGCATAGAGGGAGAGTCGTGATCTTTTCTCAGTGATGTATACAGCTGATTCCTCATTATTTTTCACAATGAAGATAAGGGCGTGATTTGCCATGGTTCGGATTTTTGATCTTTTTAATCCCAAATGCTTTTATGACATTAAGCTTAATCAAATGATGAACATTTCTATCAATTTACTACTTGCCTGAAAATAAAGCAGCTGTGGGAAGCACCAAGATCTTTATTCAGGTTTCAGATATAGAGCAGTGTAGGAGGTACAAAGATAAGAAGAACACGTTTCCTGGCCTTGTAGGGTTAACAATTCAGTAGGCAGAACAAATGAATAGGCATTATACAACATAAATGCTCTACTCCAAGGACACGCCTTTTAATCTAAACTTGAAGGACAGATATTCCGGTGATTGAGGGGTATTCCAAAGCAAGGCAATAATTAATGCCGAGGCACAGATTTGGGGGCCTTTGGGGCACGTTGAGGTAACAGCTCATTATTGTGTCCGGAGGACCCAGTAAGTGTCTGTGGGAGGGGAGAGGAGGGGAGACCTTGGAGCTGGGCTGCTTTACGAAACACTTGAGCACTTCCCCCGAGGATGCAGTCATTTGACCAGCACAGGGAGCCACAGGGTGTTTTGAGCAGGAGAGGGTTTTAGGAACCTCACACTAGAAACATGGTGTGTTGGTAAGTGGGTAGGGATGAGTGGCGAGGGAGCAACTTTTGCAGTATTTGGAGAAAGAGGAAATGGACGGAATGGAGAGGAGACCCAGAGACTTAGCTGTGAAAGGCAGTGAAGATGGAGGAGTCACATCTGGTTTTAAGTGTGGGTTAGGACAGCATGGACTAAGAGAAGGCAGTCGGTAGGAGGTTATTGGAAGGAGACGGTGAGAGGGATCGAGGGAGAAGAAACCCACTCATCGTGCGTATGTAGATAACATATACTCGTGAACATACACATGCACACATTCCCACACCAATGAATTTATCTGATGTTCTCCTCTTTTTAGGTCCTCTCTTCTCCCTTTTCTCATGTTCTTTCCCATAGTAAACTGCTATTCAAAGAGCTTTTTCTTCCTGTTGTGAGAATTACTGTAAGGAAAAAACAAAAACAAAAACAAAACCTCTTCTACACGATACTTAGGATTCTGTACAATTCTCATCAATGAGGCTTGATGCAAGTTTATCCCAACATTTCAGAATTTTCCAAATGGATGTTCATTTCTTTTAAGTGGTTTTTAGAGAATAATCACCCATTTTGCACCGACCGCATTGCAGGCAACAAGATCCCTGTGAGGCAATCCCATGAGCAGGTGTCTCTCTGCCCACTGTTATTTTCAACACTTTCAGGGCTGACGTCAACAATTCATACTTCTCGTTATTGCTGGCTTTGGTTTCTGCAAAGCTGTATCTGGTGAGCCTGTAGTTTCAGATTAATCTTCAGAAGCATTTGGGTGTTTACACTCAGAATTGCCTAAAAATAGACTTCTGTGTGTGCATAATATCTCCATACCTGTATTTGCAGGAGGTGACAGACACCTCAGTACAGCTTCTACCTCTGAACATAACTTTGGGGGGAAAAAAAAATCCCTGCAATGGAAAACACGGTGGAAAGGAGAACAGGGGAAATAAGGAGAGGCTTTATAAATGTGGTGATACCAAAGGAGTTGTGCTTGTGCCTGATGGGCCCCTCGCCCGAGGGTAGTAGGTTGCATTTGGAAGGCAGAGTTCACCAAAAGCTGTAACGAGAGCCAGGGACCTGCGGACCAGGCAAGAAGCTGGAATGTGCCTCAGTGGTACCACAGGCTGCCTTTGCCTGACAGTCTTCGGGTTATCGAATTGTTGCTCAATAGGCAGCTTCTGAAAGGGTGCTTTCACTTAAAAGCTCAGATACAGAATTTTGCAAAGCGTGTGTTTCTGGGGTGGATTCTGCCCTTCGGGAGCTTTCACCTGATTTCTGGCCACAGACCCACCTGTTACCAAAGCTCCCAAGTGTTCCTAACTGCAACAAGGTATTTGGATCATCTAATGAACACTTCAGGTAGAAAACTGTATTAATTTCACTACTAAAGAATTGGAAAAGTGTCCTCTAATCCATATTGTGACACGCTTAGAATCAATAGCCCACAGTTTTTCTTGGAAAAGGAGCTCATGAGTCCACAATGAGACTTTCTTGGGAAGCTGGGACATTTATTTGGGTTCCTTAAGGGCACTTAGACAAGTTAGGAAACTGAAGTCAGCTCCATTAAGCAAGTATCTTAGAATAGTCTGCAGAGCCCTGCTATCCCAAGGCTCCTGGCTTAAAAGGGAAACGGGGGAAAAAAAGCTATATTCATGGAAGAATCAGGGAGAGGGAGGCAGGGACTCGAAAGTGAGCAGTCCACATAATTTGTGGACGTTTGACACAATAAAAACAAAAGAAACAACCTCCCTGCTAGTAAGTATCCCCTCCCCACCCCCCCATACTTTCATGAAATAAGTACACTGAGTGGGGACCAGGAAGTAACAATCTGTTACTTAGCAGCTAAAGTGGTTACAATACTGAACTTGGAGCTCCTCCTGGCCCCATGCTAGCTCTCTGAGCTACAGATGACCCCTATCTTTTGCAGACTGACAGGTGAAATGTTTGGTCTTCGTGTCCTGCTAAAGAGGGGCACTGTAAATCACTGCATAGCAGCAAAAATTACATTTTGAATATTAATGCCTGATCTTTTAAGTCATCTGACTAGAAAAAAAAGAAGAGGAATGCTAAGCTCACCCCCAGGCATCTTTCTGTCAGTGGCAGCAAAGGGTTAAGGAGCTTGGTCTTATCAGCAGTGGTAATTAAATGTGTAGTTTGCAGGCCTGCCAAATCGCCAAAGCTAGATTGCTCATGTTAGATAATGTGTAATAAAAGACAGCTGTTGCCAGCATATACCGTTCGACACACACCAGCTCCTTATTCGGGCGTCTCGCGCTGCAACCCTGAGAAGACACTCTGGCTGGGAGGGCATCCGGGAGTGCAGCCTCCACTGGTTGGATCTGAGAACAGGACAGCTCACTCTAGGAGAAGGGCTGTGGGCAATACATTTTCCAAAGCGTGAGACCTTCCATAAGGCCTTAGGCATACTTCCTCCCACTTCGGCAGATAGTTTGGTGTGTGAGCAAGGTGGAACCCTGAGAACCTTCCTTTCTACTTCACCCGAGTCTGACAGCCCAGATCAAAGACGAATAGGCTTTGTGTCAAGATGTGGCACGTGTCAGAGAATTTGATGGTACCTAATTTATTTAAATTCTTTTATTTAAATATTAGGTGCCGAAGAGAGGTTCATCGCTCATCCGGAGTAGAAACTAATTTATACTTTGACTTAGTCTGATTTTTTTGTGTGTCACTGATAACCCAAATCAGTCAGTCCACAGGAATTGAGTCTCTGCCATGCGTCTCACGTTGTGCTAGGCAAATATTTTCAACTAGTCAATTAGCTAGGTAGAAAGGTTAGCAGGAGAAAGGTGGGGCAGTTTCCTTCTGTGTGGAGGTCTTGGATTTGTCTTGTGGACTTAAAAGATTTTAGATTTGAATTTAAATAGAATGTTTTTTTTATTATTATTGTTTAGAAGGCAGATTGCAGGTGGACCAGATGGAATCTTGAGGTTCCCATCAATATTATGATTATTTGCCTGGCAAAAGGGCATTTAAAATTGCTGAGGAAAGGTTGGAAATTTTAATAACTCATTAATCCTTGCTACCATTTATTCATTTGGTAGTTCTGTATTAAGGCATTACTAACTTCCTTTGCTTTCTATTAGTCCTTTCTCTATGGTTCTTGTTTTTGGGTTGAGATTTTTTTTTTTTTTGATCTTATTTTTTGACTTGATTTTCATTTTTAATGTTGCCACATGTTTTAGATTTTTTAAATTTAAATCTATATTTTTAATGATTACCCTTGAGATTTTCCTGTGAATATTTAAAATTTGCTGAAGGACAAAGTTGAAAAGTATTTTAACACATTCCTCCTGCATTTGATCTTTCACCACTATTTAGTTACTTATATTGGTGTCTAGTAGTTTACTTCTGTTTGTCTATTTAGCTATTTTTAAGTTTCCACTCTATTCCAGGCCCTGCACTAGGCACAGGGGAATAACAAGTACATTCCCCAAGAGGCCCAAAGGCTACAGATAGTTATGTTCAGAACTGAGGTATTTGATCCAGCATACCCTGTATATAAACACACATACATGTCTCCTCATATATGAATATCTGAATGATATGATGAATATTGATAGTAAGAGTAGTATCTTTTAAATAGAAACCCTGCATGGCTCAGTCCGTTAAACGACTGCCTTCGGCTCAGGTCATGATTCCAGGGTCCTGGGATCAAGCCCCACATCCGGCTCCCTGCTCGGCGGGAGGCCCGCTTCCCCCTCTCCTGCTCCCACTGCTTGTGTTCCTGCTCTCACTGTGTGTGTGTCTCTCTCTGTCAATTAAATAAATAAAATCTTTAAAAAAATAAATAAATAGAAACCCTAGTTATGATAACAGATAACATAAGTTGATATGACCTACCTAAGTAGCTTAAAATTGGAAATAAGAGTAAAAGCCAGGCAGATACAAATAATGAAAACAGATTAAGACAATGTGAGTACAGTATACCAGAAAGATGAGAATGCTTGGGAATGTCAAGTTTATCACTCTCCTCCATATGAAGGTGGCCCCATTGCATAGCTGAGTGGTCCCTGCCCATGTCTGTGGTAGGTAAGACAAATCAGGCTGAAACAAACCATACAAATTGTTGGAGACCTTCTACAGTTAGTCCTTACAAATTGAAAATAAATAATACTTTTTAGCAAATCTAGAGACTCTTTTTGGGTCTGAGCCTTCCTAGTGCAGTCTTCAGGATGATACAAATGGTCTGAGGTCCAGAACTGAAAAGACAAGGAATTACAAAATGTAATTAATTTACATCAAATCAGTTAGAGAAGATCAGCTCCTCCTTACAGTAGCTTTATTGATCAATAGGCGAATTCTGAACACCGAGCCATTCCAGAAAGTTTGTGAGAATGCTGGCATTTGCTACTTGGTAACTCAAATTCATTAACAGTGATATAGGCTTCTCTCCAAATAAATGCCTTAATAAGGATTTTTGTGTGTGTGCATTAATTTCTTTTATGTGTTTTTATCCTGTTTTTCATCCTCTATTTGTCTTATTTGTATTTGTTCGGACTATGTATTGATAGTATATATTTGTATTGTTTGGACTATGTGTTCATCTCCTGACATTTTTTAATGTACTTATTGATCAATGACAAGCATATCACAGTGACAGTGAAACACCATGGTTTAGCTAGTACTGTAAGCTGACATTTTGGGCCCCTGGACCAAGACTTGAGAAAGGGTTAATTAACTTGTGTTAATTCCTAAAGGAATAAAATAAAAACACACACAAACTCACAGCAATCACCTGAAAAACAAGATGCTTCCTTTTGCTTATTTTTCCTACTTACAGGGGTAGAATATATCCTGGGAGTTTATGTCTATATGATCTTTTTTTTTTAAATTTTTTATTGTTATGTTAATCACCATATATTACATAATTTGTTTTGGTGTAGTGTTCCATGATTCATTGTTTGTTCATAACACCCAGTGCTCCATGCAGAATGTGCCCTCTTTAATACCCATCACCAGGCTAACCCATCCCCCTACCCTCCTCCCCTCTAGAACCCTCAGTTTGTTTTTCAGAGTCCATCATCTCTCCTGGTTCGTCTCCCCCTCTGACTTACTCCCCTTCATTCTTCCTCTCCTGCTATCTTCTTCTTTTTCTTTTTTCTTAAAATATGTTGCATTATTTGTTTCAGAAGTACAGATCTGTGATTCAACAGTCTTACACAATTCACAGCGCTCACCATAGCACATACCCTCCCCAATGTCTATCACCCAGCCACCCCATCCCTCCCACCCCCCACCACTCCAGCAACCCTCAGTTTGTTTCCTGAGATTAAGAATTCCTCATATCAGTGAGGTCATATGATACATGTCTTTCTCTGATTGACTTATTTCACTAAGCATAACACCCTCCAGTTCCATCCATGTCGTCGCAAATGGCAAGATCTCATTCCTTTTGATGGTTGCATAATATTCCATTGTGTATATATACCACATCTTCTTTATCCATTCATCTGTCGATGGACATCTTGGCTCTTTCCACAGTTTGGCTATTGTGGACATTGCTGCTATAAACATTGGGGTGCACGTACCCCTTCGGGTCCCTACATTTGTATCTTTGGGGTAAATACCCAGTAGTGCAATTGCTGGATCGAATGGAGAGTGAAGGCGATAGTATTCATACAGTTTATACCATTTTGAGGTTCCTTTCCTTTCTTGGCTGGAAATCTCATTGCACTTTTCTAAAACTATTGCAAAGATAAATCATAAAACAGAATTGAGGTTTTGAGTCCCTGGTTTCACCTCAGTTGTATTTCTGTGTATGTGTTGGTTCTTTACAGATTATTATATCCTCCTAAAAACAGTAACACGTTGAACTATTACAGTAAATACAGTCCTTTCATCAGTATCTCAAAAAACTATCAAGTATTTTATATGCCATTCTATGGGTGTTGTTTTCTTTGGATTTCCGTGTGATTATAAATTGCTCTGGTTAATCTTTCAGGGACTCTTTTCAATACAGATTAGATATGACATTCTTTTTGGAAGCGTTGGAGTTTTGCCACATTACAGGAACTCTTTTGCCACGGTGTATTATTATCTGAGCCTCTTTTTAGCCTTTTAATGCTCCAATGTTCCCTTTCCGGGCTCTCCTTTGCTACCAATAGAGAATGGAAATTACCACCTTTACGTAACAATTTCCCAGAGCTGGGCCAAAGAAGGTGATAAAGAACAAAGTCCTTTGTGATTTAGAACATTTTATAGCTGTGTCTTAGGACCTTTTGATAACTGTGTGCTTGTTATATTTTTCAGCTTGCTTTGACGAGATCAAGTTCTTTAGGTGACTTTTCCTGGTCTCAAAGGTAAAGAGATTCATGAATTTTTTTGGTCTCCTAGCAGCGTGCACTAACACACACACACACGCACGCACGCACACACAAACACACAGTCTTACATACTACGGTTTACCTGAATGTCAGTCATCTGTAATTGTGACAGTTATTTCATGATAAGAATGTGCCAAATGTGATGCTTTGATCTTCATGCATATTTTTAATGTTTTATTACAGAAAGCTCATTACCGTGGAAAAGCAAGATAATGGAACGTTTGGATTTGAAATTCAGGTGGGCAGTTTTCAATTTTCCAGACTTTTAAGGAAGAAAGTGGTGCTGGTAGTGTGATATTTGCAAGGCAAGAGTTAAGTCAGGATTAGAGAGTGATGAACACTGTAACTTTTACTCAATGTGCTGTGGTTTGTTTGGGGTAGTGTTTCAGTAGGCTAGGTACCATTAAGGAAAGAAAACATTGAAGCAGTTAAAATAAAACCCCTGGGACATGCTCAGCTCCTTGCTCTTAGTTGCTTTAGTTTTCCTGTAAGCCTGAGACTAACCAGGAATACTTGGTATCAGCCAGGTCTCAAATAAGAAAGTGAAATACTCTTTACAGATGTGCATTTTTATATATTTGCATTTCAGATGTGTTTTGCATAATCATTTTTCTACTGTATATCAGATTTTAAATCTATACTTTGGTATTCAAGAAATACTTAAAACATGTAGATTTGTGTGTATCTGACTGCATGTATTCATATCTAACTCCTGTTACATTTTGAAATACTAAAGATTTCATCTCAGATATAAAGAAGAAATTAGAACTTTTATCTTTTTTTTAAGATTTATTTATTTTGAGAGAGAGACAGAGAGCGTGTTTGTGTGTGTATGAGCAGGGGGAAAGGCAGAGGGAGAGGGAGAGAGAATCCCAAGCAGACCATGCTGAGCATGGAGCCACACGTGGAACTTGATCTCACAACCCTAAGATCATGACCTGAGTTGAAACCAAGAGTCAGAGGCTTAATGGACTGAGCACCCCAGGCGCCCCTGGACTTTTTTCTTAATGACAACATCTTATAATTATTATTTGAAACATTTTAGAAAAGTTGGGTCTACTTGCATATTGTCTCATGCTCTAGGAAATTTCTCAGAGTCTTTATAGGTTTCTATTTCTTTTTTTTATTTCTTCTTTTTAATTTTTTATTGTTATGTTAATCACCATACATTACATCATTAGTTTTTGATGTAGTGTTCCATGATTCATTGTTTGTATATAACACCCAGTGCTCCACGCAGAACGTGCCCTCCTCAATACCCATCACCAGGCTAACCCATCTTCCCACCCCCCTCCCCTCTAGAACCCTCAGTTTGTTTTTCAGAGTCCATCGTCTCTCATGGTTCGTCTCCCCCTCTGACTTACTCCCCCCCCCCATAGGTTTCTATTTCTAATAGCCTAAGAATTTCATTTCTCATTTGGTGTCTGCTCTTTCGTGGCCATATTTGTAAAGATGGTGAGTGAGGTCAAATGAAGTCTAATCCAATTAAGTCCAACAGTAATAGCTTAAGTATTATAGATTTTTTTTCTTCCATCACACTTTTGCATTTCTTTTTTATGTCTTTTGCATAATCATACTTTTACACTGCACATCAACTTTTAGGTCTTAGCTTTGGTGCTGCTTTTAGAAAACTTTGGTGACCAAATATCAACCCCCAAATTGGAAAGTCAGGGTGTATTTGAAGATTAGGAACAGGAAACTGCCAAGTAAAACATGCTTTCTGAATAAAGAAACAAAACAAAATGGAACTCTAGCTATAATGACTAGGGGGAAGGCTATAGGAGGAAGAAAGATACTTTCTACTTTCTGAACTATTCTACTTTTAAATTTGGTGAAATCTATAATTTTTCTATCAGGCTTTAGAAGGATAGTACTCACTTCTTCCCCATTCACACGAAACACTCCCTTTCTGTTGTGGAGACATGGTGCTTTTTGTGACTGCTTCTTTTTAAATGAGAATTACCCACAGGATGTGTAGCCGTTGCTACTGGAAACAGGATCAATGACTACTCACTTACCCTATTTAGTGCAACAAATGGGGATCTTTTTTCTCGCTCTTCTATGATATAGGTCACTGTTTCCCCCATGTTTCTCCCCCATACCGTAAATGCCGACTTCGTGAAGCAAGGGTCAAAACTATCAGTAGTGGACCGCAGGCTACAGCGCCTTGAACCTTTGTAGAGCAACATGAGCCAAGGATTTCCCTTCTGAACTGCAGCCTGTTCCAGGGAAGTAGGAACCCACTCTTCTGCCAATTCCCATTTAGTGTATGCTTTCCATTGCCACCTCCACCCCATAATCTATTCTTTAGCAGTAGTCACCAAATAGGGGAAATGCCCTGGGAACTTTTTGAAGACCAGATAGAGCCTCAGGTCCCCCTATTGTGTGCCCATTGTTAACATGTATTTGGGGCCTGGTCTCCCGAGTGAAGGGCATGTTGGAAAAGAAACAAGTCCGCCTCCTTTTTGGATTTCCATGGGTGCTAATTTTATACTGCTAGTGAGAATCACGCTGTATGGGAGCAAGACAAACGTTAGATTCATACATACTAAGGTCATGCTCTCTCAGTGCTGCCTTGTGGGGTTCTTAGGAGTTTCAAATGAAATAACACATCTTATAAAGTACTTAGTAACATGCCCGGTACCAGTAGATCAGCCAATGGAAGGCGTTAGCATTAAAGTCACTGGGCCTGAGAGAGCAAGCACAGTGTGACTTCTGTATCTCTAAGAAATGCAGGGGATTATTTTGTCATTGGCTTCTAAAAATGGGACCTGGAAGACCAGGTGAGAGAGAGAAGTATTTGACTATTTCCATCCATAACGTTGGGGCCTCTGCCTTTTCTTCTCTGTCCCCAACCCACACGTTTCACACTGGTTGCAAACATATATCCCGGTTGCGTAAATCAACACAGTTCCCCCTCACCGTACTCACTTTGGTCACTCTACCTGGAGGGTAGATGCTCACTGATAATAAAAATTGTTCTAACAGTGGTTTCCCAGAGGAATGACTGTTAGAGCTTTGACCCATGTACCACATGAACCAGATCATCCTTCCATTCCTGGAAGGGTCCAGGCTGTAGCAAGAAGACTTCCTGGCAGAAAAACTGTTAAAGAGGTCTCTGCCATAGATGGGAAGGATGTTAAATGATCTTTAAAAGGTCCCTTCTACATTTACCATATGGGAATTCCAAATGCCTTGCAGAGAGAACAGAAATTCCTTAGATGTTAACCAAGTCAAGTTTCTAGGCGTTGCTTGCATGTGACTGATTTCTGGGTTCTGGAGCCTGTGTGTCTGTAAAGTAAGAAAGAATGAACATCAGACATTAACTTCTCCACAAGGAAACGGCGCTGTAATGTGGTTTAATTTTAGGAATCAGATTACTTAACCCAGGTGCTGATTTTGATTCTAAATGGAACGAGGCTTCATAACTTAAATGTGTGAAAAATACAAATCTGTTTGTTATAGGTCATTGGGCCACTCCCTGTAGCAATATTTAAGCAGTATTCTTGGTACAAGTTGACACAAAAATAAAAACAAAAACAAAACCACGCTGCTTTTGCCAAACTGAGGCAAGAGATGAAGCATAAGTTTTTCTAATTTGGTTGGGTGACTAATGAACTGATGAGTATTCAGGGCAGGCATAGCAGGGAGCACTTAGACAAGAAGGTGATCGTGTCGATTATAGTACTTTTGAAAAAATACAGGGCAGATTGTCATTATTTGCAGAGCTCTGATTTAAAATAATTATTGTTGGCATACGTCCCTTCCTGGATGTGTACCGTCCCATATGCTGCTCTAATGAGTACTTTGGCCTGGGAGAACTACACAGAGATTTTTCTCTTTGCTTTGGCTACTATTGTTTTATCCCATTGGGAAATAAGAGACCTGCTTTTGCTTAATAGATATGTAATAATGAGAGCATCAGGTGGTCTCTTAGGCTTGAACGTACAAAATCTTAAACCAATCTTATTCCTACTTTCTCCCTCAAGCTGGGATTTCTTTTTTAAAGATTTTACTTACTTATTTGAGAGAGAGAGAGAGAGAGAGGGAGAGAGCAAGAACGGGGGCGGGGGGAGCTGCAGGCAGAGGGAGAGGGACCCACCAGGTTGGATACCAGGACCCTGGGATCAGGACCAAAGCCGAAGGCAGATGCTTAACCGACTGAACCACCCAGGTGCACCCTCCCGCCCCCCCCTTTTTTTAATGGATGGGGTTGGCTACAGATTGCATCATAGAATTTCCCGATTGGTATCTTTGATTCAGTTCATATTCAAGAAAGCCTTTCCAAATTGTTCTTTGTACTTACCTACTATACTGCTTAAGGTAATCAACACCATTTTATTCTTTGACACATGGATTTTGAGGTTTTTGAATAGTAATTATGTATCACTTTAATTTTTACAGACTTACAGGCTGCAGAACCAGAACCTGTGCTCCTCAGAGATGTGCACTCTGATTTGCAAAATCCAGGAGGACAGCCCAGCACACTATGCTGGCCTGCAAACTGGTAATTTGTAACTTTGCTTGTGTTAGGAATTATTCAAATAGCAAGAAAAGAAAACTTTATGATGTCAAAGGTTGGGATATGATTGCTACTGTGAATTTTCTTAGTTCCTTTATGTTGCTAAGGTTTGGGGCTTGCTTGTTTTTTTTTTTTTTTTGCATGTCAGGAGGGATTATTTAAGCAACTATTTTAACAACTCACTTTTCTTGGCATCTCCCAGGTGATGTCCTTGCAAATATCAATGGCGTGAACACAGAAGGCTTTACCCACAAACAAGTTGTTGACCTGATCAGATCTTCAGGAAACCTGTTAACGTAACTATCCATCTGCTTCCCGTAGGGCCTTCAAAAATGTTACGGTCTTTCATAATGCCTGTTGAGTGAATGAATAGGCTTTTTGTTCAGGATCACAAAAAGGGAGGCAGTGCACCATAGCTCTGGGATTGGGTACAGACATTGTTTATCAGTTCCTTTTGTTTCTCAAGGTTTCCTCAAATTTGAAAATGCTGTCAACATCTGAAGTCAGAGGACATCAATAACCCAAATGTCTGTGTGGGAGGGATAGCATTTAGAAAATTTATTTTTTTATGTCAAATTCAATGAAACTGGCACATATTCTCTTTGGCAGAGAAGAACTGGTCCCATTTCCATGGTTGATATAATCTTGTGGTTAGAACAAATGAAAGGTCAGAAGGGCTGAAGTTTTTCTCTTATACCACAAGCCAATTGTTTTTCTTTTCTAGTGTCCTATTTGGAAGGAAGAAAAAAGTCTGCTCAATCCTCTCTGCCCTGCAACACACACACACACTCACACTTACTAATATTCCAGGCTTACTAATGGGACAGTGGCCTCCTCAATCAGAGATTTGACTGACCTTTCCACCATACCATCCTTAGAACCTAGTAAGACTTCAGCAATTAGTTGAAAGATGGAATTTCCTCAGTCATTGAAATGGTATTTATTGAGCAAGTACGTTTCCAGCTTTACAATAGGCTTAGGAGAGACATAGACAAAGACTCTTAGAGTGCTTTATTGATTGTGGGAGGAGATGGACAAGGAGAGCCTCCAAAAGAAGTAATTTTGATATTTCAATTATTGATAACTGCTGTTAAGAAAATAAAATAAGGAATGGGATAGAATACTGAGTAAGAGGACTGCTCTGTAGCTTAGGTGTTGAAAGGGATCTTCTCTGAGGAGGGGAAATCTGAGCTGAGACTTAAAGAACGAGAGGGGATGGTCATATGAACTCCTGGTGAAAGCATTTCATGCAAAGAGAGAGGTGTTTGACTTCTCAAAATGGGCTCGGCATGTCCAGCAGATAGAGAGACAACCAGTGTGATGGGTGGTCGGTAGATTAGGGAGCGTATAAGAAGTAAAGGCAGGGAGTTTGCCAAGGGGCAGAGCATGGGTCTTATCAGGCTAAGTAGTTTAGGATTTATTCTGACGAAGGTGGGTCTTACATTACCTCCTTCAATCTTCACAGCTACCTTGTGAGGTTAGTTTTATTTCTATTTATAGATAAAGTGACTGAAGCTTAAATTAGGTGGAGTGAAGCTCAATGATCTAGTAAGTGACTGGGCTAGGATTTGACCATCTGCTCTGGATGCCAGGATCCGTTCTCTTCGGCTACCCCACAGCTGCTCATTGCAAGTTGCCAGTAGAAAATCCGCGGGATGCTCTTCAGTGATTCTAGTCTAAAACTTCAAAGATGTTCTGGGTGTTTGCGGGAGTAGTTTTAAAAGATGACTCCTGATGGTAAAGGACCTAGTCCAACTCTGTGGATCTTGTGAGTTCAGGGTAGAGGATGGGGGTGCTCTTTACTCTAGAGAAACTTGAATCTATGAGGTTGGAGCCATATAGAATCCAAGGGGGAAAGATGGCAGTTAGAATCAGGAAGCTACCTTCCAAATGGGTAAAGTGGGCAGAATGCAGGGATATAATTAAGAAGTAATGGGTGGAGACAAAAGGAGATCCAGAAATCAGGAAAATGAGAGACATCTGTCTAAATACTGAAGAGAACAACCAACGTGTGCCTGTGGTTTTGCACATAGACACCTATTGCTTGGGCAGGTCAGATGGGCATTAGGAGTCCTGTTGAAACAGATTCATAGGATCCTCACTAATGCCCAGAGACAAGACCACCCTAATGAGGAAGTAGACAACATCCTGGCTTGCATTATCATCTCATTATCTTGGGAATGATGCTATTAGAAATAGAGAAAAATAGGTCTTCATATTTAATGCTATTGTTTTACCATGACTTGAAAAATTTCTGCATCTTAATACAATAGTTACAGCTTACTTATCAGAAGGAATTTGAACTAATATTTTAAATGCTTAGGTGTGTGACTCACACATGACATTTGTTATCTTATTCAGATTGCTGACTTAGTAGTCAAAATACAGGTGTCAACATGAGCCCACAAAACAAATCAAATCAGTCAGGATAGAACAAGTCTTTTTATTTTTAGAAGGGCATTTGGTATAGGGAGAAATGGAACACCATTAAACTGATAATTCTAGGATTGAAGTTTATAAACTTAAAAGGTTCTGAGATGTGAGAGTCATATGAAGGTTATTATCTCATAGTGGTCTGGCTCTGTTTTTTTCTAGCTGAAAAATTAAGGCAATTTATAGAGGTACAGTTTCCTAGAATCCTGGGAAAGAAGGGACTTTTCCCGTTTCCGAGAAATGGCATGTCTATTCCACTGTTTGAAGCTCCCTATTATATGTTTTATTGCTGGACCCCTCATGCTTAGCATGGTGTCTAAAGTCTGGCACGTGGTATATGCCCAATAAGCACTGACCAAATAAAATAGGTGATTCAGCCAGAGCCCATAAGAATAAATTCCAGCAGAGGACGATAGTCATTGTCATATGGTGGCGTCTATAAAATGAGCTACAGCTTGCAAGTGAACCAATATCTTTTCTTTCAACCACCCTCTCGAGGGGATTTTTGTTTTTGTTTTTGTTTTTTTTTCCACTTCCTTTCCCTGAAGGGGGGAAAGTCAGAAGATTCGGCCTAGGTCCAGATACTTGAAGTGCCATGAGAATCATAACATTTATATTGCTTTTTTTAAGTATAGTCTGTGCTGAAAGTGTAGTACTCCATAAGGATGGCACTTGTTTGAAAGGATCACTCATGCTGTTCCCCTCCCCCCCCTTTTTTCTTAAAACAGGATAGAGACTCTTAATGGAACAATGATTCTCAAAAGAGCAGAGCTTGAAGCAAAGCTGCAAGTTTTAAAGGTAATTTAATTTAATACAGTGAGCCACATTTTTCATCCTTGAATGTGTGAGTGGTAGAATAAAAATCTATTTGAGGGATTGAAATAGCCCTTGAAGATGAGATGTCGTGATGAGTCTAAACTGCTGAATTATCAAGAGCCACACAATTACCTTTACAGGAATATTGAATTCCACAAACCAGTGCAAATCACTTTCTTCCTTCCTCCTTCTGTGTTTCTATGAGGCTCAGGAAGGCAACAGGAAGGCATATCACTTGAAGAACTTTTCACTAATGCACCTGTGATCTCTCTTGATTTACATTTTGTTCCGGGGGGGTGGGGGAAACAAAGGAGGAGTTGCTGGTGTTTTCCTCATTTTTCCAAGTGCTGCATGTATGCAGGAGGGCCTGGAGGCTTTGCTTTTCCATTGTCTTCTTCTGTGTCCTTCTGTTCTGCTTCATTCTTTCTACAAAAATCATCTCCCTCTGCTCCCGTGGCCGTCCTTGAATCTACTTTCATTGGCAAACACACAATCAGCTTTTAAGTGGAAAGAAAAATAAAAGTTTCCAGGAGATAGTACACAATGCAGAGTTCAGAGAAAATTCCCTGGGATGGCTCTTTGAGGGTCTTGAAAATCTCAGTTTGCTGGACGGCTGAGGCTCTGCCGGGCCCTGACGTGCAGACCCTCATCCGTGTGCATTCGAGTCATGGGCCTGCGGACCCCACTGACTTCTTTCTCCCAGAGAGCTCCCCTGCGTGGCAGTGAGGTGGCCGGTCTGAGCAGAGACCACAAGGCTTACAGGCAGGTTGCTCACTTGGACTGTGTTTAGCAATAGCTGGCTTTTATGAGTTTTCTTTACGAAGTATGTACTTCTTAATTACTGAGCCCATGACCGTAGAGGAGTTGCTCTGTTTATCTTTCATCTTGTATCCCCCCCCCATATCTAATTCATCAGTGAACGCTGTTTCCTTCTGTGTCCACACTGGTTTTATACTCTTGTCATTTTACTTGTCGTTATGATATTTTGAATTAACTTGTAAAATTCCTTAAAAAATCCCTCTGTTCAAATTGATAGGAATTGACATTTATAGAATAAATATCAATTGACATCTTTACGGTTTTCACCTTTCCTACTCCAAACACAGGAGCTTGACCTTTTAATTCAGGTCTTTTATATACTTCAGAAACATTTTATCATTTCTTTATACACTTTTATATAGCTTTTATTATATTTATTCTTAGGTGCCTTCTAAGTTTTCTTGCTATAATAAACATGATTTTTTAATTTTAAAAGATCTTTTAATTGTGTTGCTATTGATTTTTGTGTAAATTTTCAACTCTGATAGTCTTGCTGAACTCTATTCCAACGTTTGCAGATTTTTTATATAGGCATAATGTCATCTGCAGATACTGAAAGTTTTGCCCCTTTACCCTGGTTATTCAACTACAGTTGAATAACCTTGAACAATGCAAGTTTGAACTGCATGGATCCACTTACATGCAGGTTTTTTTTTTTTTTTTTTTATAAATAAGGTACAATATTGTAAATGTATTTTCTCTTCCTTGTGATTAGCTTAAAAACATTTTCTTTTCTCTAGCTTACTTTACTGTAGGAATACAGTATATAATATACAAAATCTGTGTTAGTCAACTATTTATGTTATCGGTAAGGCTTCCAGTCAACCCTAGGCTATATTAGTAGTTGAGTTTTTAGGGAGGCAAAGTTATATGTGGATTTTTGACTGTGCAGGGGTCAGCACCCCAACCCCTGTATTATTCAAGGGTCAACTACATAATTTATTTTTCTCCTATTACAACATTGGCTAGGACTCTTGTAAATAGTGATAATCTTTTAAAGGGAATGCCTCTAACATTTTATCATTAAGTTTTTGTATGGAATAAACAGTGATTCATAGTATAGTTAGGTTTTAAAACTGTAAAAACTTAATTTGTTTTTATAAAAAAGAGAGTATTAGTGAGGATCATTTTTTAAAGTAAACATGGCTTTTTTTTTTAAAGATTTTATTTTTATTTATTTGAGAGAGAGAGAACGAGAGATAGAGAGCATGAGAGGGAAGAGGGTCAGAGGGAGAAGCAGACTCCCTGCCGAGCAGGGAGCCCGATGTGGGACTCGATCCCGGGACTCCAGGATCACGACCTGAGCCGAAGGCAGTCGCCTAACCAACTGAGCCACCCAGGTGCCCAGTAAACGTGTCTTTTTTACCTTTTCCTAGAAAAAGGAAAGAAATGTACAAAATAAACTGGTGGTATTGTTTAAAACATAACTGAACAAATAGGTCTATATTTCACGGAATAAAGCCTTCTCCTGCAAAAAGCACATTTCGTGTTTCAGAAGCAATTTCTGCTCCTTCAGTGTTTTCTCTTGAAGTTTTAGTATTCACACCTACCGATTTTTTCAAATGAAGTATACATTTTTCAATATACCCATCCTCTCCTAGAACATCATGAGGACCTTAACATATTTAAATGTTCATCTCAAGACCCCATCTTTCTTATTATTGCTTTACTTTGGAGAATTTTATCAATTTTTAGAATAAAAATTGTCGTTCTGAGGTAACATATGCTAATGTGTTGAATTGATGTGCTTGCCGTTTTCTCTTCCTTCCCTCTGGGTTTACTTTCTTTTTTGCTGTAGTACTTCCTTTAGCAAGCGTAAGTAGGGCTTTCTTTGTCCAAACAAATCTTTCACTGCTAATGTTGAAGGAGAGTTTTATTAGGTGATTAAATTATTCTCAGTTGATGTTTTGTCTCCTTTAGTATTTTAAATGTGTTGTGTCTTTGATATTTTTGCTTATGTAAGAGCTCTTATTGTTTATCCTTTGTAGGTAATCTGCATTTTCTCTATTTTCTTCCAAAAGTTTTAAAGTTTTTCCTTTTTACACTGAAGTCTGAATTCACCCAGAATTAATTTGTATATGTGGTATGAGATAGGATTCTAATTTTCTTTAATTTCCATATGAATACCCAGTTCTCCCGGTACCATTTCTTTTAGTCTTTCTTCCCCTCCCTTGAAATGACCTGCAGTGAAGCCTCTATTTTTAAGCAAGTTTCATATATGCATGGATTTTGTTATAGGCTCCGTATTCTGATCCATTGTTTCTCTCAAACTCAGTTATTACACCTTTGTAATAAATATTGGTATTTGGTTGAACAAACCTTCCAGGTTATTCTTGGTTCTTCTGATCATCTATATAAATTTTAGAATCAGATTATCAAGTTCTCTAAATAAACTTTGGACTTTTGATTGATATTAAATTTTCTGTAGACAGCTCAATTTGAAAAGACTTAACATCTCCATAGTTTTGAGTTTTCTTAGTGATAGACGATCTCACCATCTTTTTATTTTTTTGCCCATTCCCCCACTCCCTTCCCCTCCTGCAACCACCAGTTCTTTCTATTTATGAATCTGTTTCTGCTTTTTTGTTTGTTTGATTGTGGGTGTTTTTGTATTCCACATATAAGTGAAATCATATGGTATTTGTCTTTCTCTCTGACTTATTTCACTTAGCATAATACCCCCTAGGCCCATTCCTGTGGTCACAAATGGCAAGATTTTATTCCTTTTTATGGTTGACTAATATTCCATTGTGTATGTATACCACATCTTTATCCCTTCCTCTATTGATGGACACTTAGGTTGCTTATATATCTTGGCTATTTTTTTTTAAATGCTACAATAAACTAGGAGCGCATATATCTTTTTAAGTTAGTGTTTCTGTTTTCTTTGGATAAATACTCAGTAGTGGAATTACTAGATCATATGGTATTTCTCTTTTGATTTTTGAGGAAACTCCATACTGTTTTCCGCAGTGCTGCATCAATTTGCATTCCCACCAACAGTGCATGAGGGTTCTTTTCCTCCACATTCTTGCCAACACTGGTTATTTCTTGTTTTTGATACTAGCCATTCTGACAGGTATAAGGTGATATCTCATTGTGGTTGTGATTTACATTTCCCTGATGATTAGTGATATTGAATGTCTTTTCATGTGTCTGTTAGCCATCTGTATGTCTTCTTTGGAAAAATGCCTATTTAGGTCCTCTGCCCATTTTAATGAGATTATGTGGGGGTTTTTTGATGTTGAGTGGTATAAGTTCTTTATATATTTTGGTTATTAACCCTTTATTAGATATATTATTTGCACATATCTTCTCCCATTCAATAGGTTCCTTTTTGCTTCAGGGATCTGCAAAAGCTTTTAATTTTGTTGTAGTCCCATAGTTTATTTTTGCTTTTGTTTCCCTTGCCTGGGGAGACGTATTCAAAAATATGTCCAGTGTCTAAGAGATTGCTGCCTATGTTTTCTTTTAGGAGTTTTAAGGTTTCATGTCTCACATTTAGGTCTTTAATCCATTTTGAATTTATTTTTGTGTATGGTGTAAGAAAGTGGTCCAGTTTCGTACTTTTGCATGTAGCTGTCCAGTATTCCCAGTTAATGAAAAGACTGTTTCTCCCTCATTGTATGTTATTAACTCCTTTGTCATAGATTGATTAGCCATATAAGTGTGGGTTTGTTTCTGAGCTCTCTATCTTATTCATTGATCTATGAATCTATTTTGTGACAGTACCATACTGTTTTGATTACTTTGGCTTTGAGTATATCTTGAAATCTGAGATTGTGATACATCCAGTTTTGTTGTTCTTTCTCAAGATTGTTTTGGCCATTTGGGGTCTTTTGTGGTTTTATACAAATTTTAAGATTATTTGTTCTAGTTCTATAAAAAATACTGTTTGGATTTTGATAGAGATTACATTGACTCTGTAGATAGCTTTGGGTAGTATGGACTTTTTAATGATATTAATCCTTCCAAACCATGGACATGGTATATCTTTCCATTTGTTTGGGTTGTCTTCAGTTTCTTTCATCAGTGTCTTCTATTTCTCAGAGTATAGGTCTTTCACCTCCTTGGGTAAAGTTATTCCTAGATATTTTATATTTTTTGATGCAATTATAAATGTGATTGTCTTCTTAATTTCTCTTTCTGCTACTTCACTATTA